GAACTACCAACATAAGTTTGTTTCAAAGTTTAATCCCCATTTCAGATACTTGGTCCCCTAAATTAATTTAGCACTATAGTGCAGTACTGAAAAAGCATTATGCTGTTAGACGTACTGTGATTTGGATGCGACATTAAACTGTGGTCCCTTTTGCCCTCTTGTGTGGATATAAGCAATCACTTGGTGCTCATTTAAAAATAAGCTGGAGAGCTTTCCCAGTATCCAGGTCAATATTTAACACTCAACCAACATTCAAAAGCAGATGATCTGGTCATTTTATTTCATTGCCTTTTATGGGAGGTTGCTGTGCAGAAATAGATTGCTGATAATACTACATTACAACAGTAACAACACCTCCGAAGTACTTCATTACATTGAGACACCCTAAGGCTGTGTAAGGTGCTCCTTCTCACTGCTGTTTTGCTAGCCTGTTCCCTAACAAATTACATTGGGCATTATATAATGTAGCACAAAGAATTCCAGATAATTTTTACAATCAGTTTTTACCTTGTTTGTTGGGGATGTGAGGGTTGCTAGCAAGAACTACAATAGTAGTCCACCCTAATTGCACTTGATAAAATGCCACTGAGTTGCCTTTTTGAGTGCTGTGGTACGTTTGGTATTTACATCCACAGTGCTGTTAGGAAGCCAGGTTTTTAGTCCGGTTAACAGTCAAGGAACAGTTCAGTCTAACGAGACATTGAGATTTTCTGCATTTTGTCTTAGAGATATTTTCACACTGTGCATTGATGGAGAAAGGATTGAATGTTTAAAGTGTTGTGTGGGATACTGATCGTGTGTGCTGCATTCCACCTGGATAATTTCAAGCTTGTGTTGTTGAATCTGCACTGTCCTGGCAATGGAGAATGTTGCATCACGCTCCTGATTTCTGATGTGGTCAGGGGAGTTTGAAGATGCATTGCCCATTGCAGAATTTCCAGTGCCTGACTTGCTTTTTTTAACCAGGCCTTTCCAGAATGCCTTTGATATTGCTCAAATCTATATAAAGTCCAGTGGCAATGAAAGAAATAGTCATTTCCTCTACTTGCTTTTCCAGGGCTATACATTTGGATCATTCATTTGTCCAGCAAACCTGTGAAAAAAGAGAAATTTTGTGTGTGGTAAATGAAAAGATTATCACCTCCCAAAAGTGCTCAATTTCTGAACATTTGCAAATTGAAGAAAAGTGTGGTGGTACGCTGGGACTTAAAACAAAAATATTGAAGGTGCGTATGTTGTCTGAAATAAAAGCGTGTATCTCACTGTAGTTGCCATAATATTTTAGCTACATATAGCATGCACCTCTGGAGCTCGTCCAATGACTTATTTTTTCCTCTGCGTGGTTTTCAAAAATCTGGCCAAATTGGAAATGCATTTACAAATTTATAAAATAGTGCAAGCGTGGGTAAGTAATATAAGCTGGATCAACAAGATGAAATTGATGGAAAACAGTTCTTCAGTTTTGAGCCTTTTGAGCCTTTGCTATGTATTGTATTGTGACATGGTTACGTTAGTCATTTTTGTGTGACATTGTCTAAACCAGGGTATTAAACATTTTAGGAGCATTTCCCACACTTTCTTGCATCAATATACAAAATTAGGCTTAGTGCCTGGAAAGGAAATGGCTTTGTAAAGCCCACAAAAGAAGGGAGTTCACTTCACAAGACATATAACTTAAACAAAAAATAAGCTGAAGGGAAAAGCAGACCTATTGAATGTGCTATTAAAATTAACATGAAAAATGAATGCAGCTAGGACTTTTTTTTCAAGCAGATGTAACTTTAAAATATTTTATTACTACTATTTCATGCAAGAATAATTGCATTGTAATTTTGTAGATCTTGTGGGGATCCATGTGTTTTTATTTGAAGAAGAGTTCTCTTGGATTGATGGTTCCTTTTTAAGAACTAGGTTTCTCTAGGTGATTTAGTTTCTGAAGTTACTATTTTCCCGTAAATGATCACACAAGCAGTTTGCTAAGGAGATAAAAACAGGGGGGAAAAAAAGCCAACAAACTAATCACCAGGTTGTAAGATCCAGAGATGGTAATTCTGTGTTCCAGCAATTTTATTTTAGAGTTTAGAACAAGTTGTAGTGAAGTAAACTTCTCTTTTAGCACAATTTGCTTGAAATTCTAGGTTTTGGTTAACAAGGTTAAAACTCGCCTTGTTAACTTAATTATCCTAATAACAGTGAGTTGAACTTCTGCTACAGCCAAACTGATGAGAGAGAGTGTTTTATGTGCAAAGTTCTAGTATTTAAAACTATTAGGACCAGGAGTTTTGAACTGAGGTGTCTATGCTTCAGATGCTGGAGGCATTTTGGAACTTTGGGAATGTAGGAAGAGATTTGCAAGGACAGACTTGCGAGAAGTGAATGAAAGGCCCAGGAAATTTAGCCTGTAAATTAAGTGTTGAAACAGTACCCACACTAAGCAGTGAATCTTCCAGTTTTCGATAAATATCTGGCTTGAGTTTTTGAATATAAATCAATGGATGTAGAAAAAAATTGAAGTTAAAATGTTTGATTTAGCTTATAAGTAACTGCATTCTATGTGCTTTCAATATCTTTAACGTAGGTGATTAAGATTCACATTCATTGGTTTCTGTGTAGTAAATTTCTTTTTCTTTGTTTTGAATCAATGTAACTTGTGGTTTCATACTTTGAGTAAATACTTGCCACTGATTTGTATTGAGGTCATAGCAAGTTGCTGTATACCATTTTGACCATATCCCTTTCAAGGGACCAATCAATGAAAAGCATGAAGCAGTGACAACGGGAATGTATTAGGTGTTGCTTCCAGCTCTTCTCCTCTTCTGACCAACACCCCTGCGTCCTGAAAGTTTTAATTCTTACTGTGGTTCTGCAGACTCTTGCTGCCTTCTGACCCTGCACTTTGCATCCATCCTTTATGCATCCATAATGCAAATCCCTTTTTTTTTGCTTCCACACCTGAAATATCATCCCCTTTTATGTCCTTTATCTAGTGAATCTGCCTGAGAAATAATTAGGAGCCAAGACATTTTCTCCTCCTCTTCTTCTCTTCTGCCAATCCCAACCTGATGCTTTCAATACAGTGTGGGAAATTGATGAGCCACCTTGCCACTCCCAGCCAAACACCTCTCTGATGTAGCATGCAGCAAAGTTGAAACTGATCCCATATCGCCATGAGGAGAACTGGGAGGGGTCTTTTAGTTGAGGACAAGGGGGTTGTATCAGAAGATGCAATATGACATCTTTGCTCCAAATATTAACCTGTGAAAGGAAGTTTGGCACAAAAGTCAAAGCAAGATTCCAAAATGCATAAAATACACTGGTTTTCAGATTATTGGTTATGAATAGCAATAGTGGTTTTAAATGTTATTCTGTTGAAAAATGTTTCTTTGTGAATTGGAACAGTTTTCTAAGCTGCTTGTATTTTGTAGGTTTCGGCAAATGATGATGGTACTATATCCAAGGATACAGAGATTGTATTGGAGATCCCACCTCGTACTGTTATTGCGTACGGTGTCACTGAGCTAATTATAAACCAGAATGGCCAGTTTGGTATGCATTGATCATGACAATTAAGCCAAGTAATATAATAGTGGATCAGGTGTATATGCTACTGGCTCAAACAGCCAATTGAGCTTCCAGTTTGTCATGTTAGGAAGTATGCTTGTGACAGAGTGGAAGTGTTTGCTTTGGTCAATGAAGTAACAGAGAGAGAACATGAATTAATCAGAAGAAGAATTGTATAAATGTTTTGATTGTACAGGTCCGTGATAAAACTATTCAAACCAATTTCATAAAACCTCTTTAAAAGGAATTAAGTGGTTTCTTGACAAAGAGAATATTGATGAATATAAGGAGCAAGCAGAAACCTGGGGTGGAACAAGGTGATGGATGAGATAGAAAGTGCAGCTGCAGAATGTAGTGGCAAATGGCTTGTTTTGGCGCTGCAGAATTCTCCAATTTTGACCTTTAATACTGATCTATCACCCAATATTATTTTTATGTCCTTTTGTAAGTTTAAAAATGTTTTAAGAGTGGCCTCAGAATGTGAAATGTCTTTTAAGAAAAGTTAAATAGAGTCATACAGCATGGAAACAGACCCTTTGGTCCAATGCCAGCGATAATCCGAAACTAAACTAGTCCCACCTGCCTGCACTTATTCCTCCAAACATTTCTTATTCATGCAATTGACCAAATCTCTTTTAAACGTTGTAACTGTACATGCATCTATCACTTCCTCTGGAAGTTCATTCCACGCACAAACCATTCTCTGTGCAAAAAAAAGTGTTGCCCCTCATGTCCTTTCCAAATTTTTCTCCTCTCACCTTGGAAATAATTCCCCTAAGCTTGAAATCCCTTACTTTAGGGAAAATACACCTGCCATTCTCCTTATCTGTACTCCTCATTATTTTAAAAACCTCTATAAGGTCACCCCTTAACCTCCTATGCTCCATTGAAAAAAGTCCCAGCCTCTCCCATTCCCAGCAACATCTTGTAAATCTTCTCTGAACCCTCTCCAGCTTGATAATATCCTTCCTATAACAGGGTGACCAGAATTGGGCACATTACTCCAGAAGAGGCCTTACCAACATCCTGTACAGCCTCAGCATGACTTCCCAACTCTCTACTCAAAGTTCTGAGCAATGAAGACAAGCGTGCTAAACACCTTCTTAACCACCATGTCTACATGTGGCACAAACTTCAAACAATTATGTACCTGAACCCCTAGGTGTCTCTGTTCTACGACACTACCCAAGGCCCTACTTTTAATTTTATAAGTCTTGCCCTTGTTTGTTTTACCAAAATGCAATACCTCGCATTTATCTAAATTGAACTCCAATTGCCTCTTCTCAGCCCATTGACCCAATCAATCAAGATCTCTTTGTAACCTTAAATAATTTTCTTCACTGTCCATGATATCACCAATTTTGGTGTCATCTGCAAATTTACTAACCATGCCTTCTATATTCTCAACTAAATCATTTATATAAATGACAAACAAAAGATGACCCAGCATTGATCCCTGTGGAACACCGCTGGTAACAGTCCTCCAGTCCAAAAAACATGCCTCTGTCACCATTCTCTTGACATTCAGTCTTGAACGGGTAAATCACAAGTAACATTCAAGCCACAAAAGTGCCAGACAATGCTCATCCCCAGCCCGTGAATTTACTATCTGTACAACTCCATGGAACATATTGGTTGAGAGGTATTTTTTTCAACATAGAAATTTTGTGAAGACTTTAGTGAGGATGCAATCAAAACTAATTGAACAGATTTAAAGGATAGCCGGATGTAGGTTATAGGATGAGGGTGAAATTATATGTGCACTCAAGCCTGTCTTCAATTAATTTGAAAGATTGAACTGCTCTTCAAAATCAGAATGTAGCTGAAAAATGTTCAATATCTTTGTGCTGCCTTGCCTGATTTTGAATCTTTTCTGATACTATTAATTGACTGTTTCACTTCGATATCATTTATAGTATTGTTTTAGCCAATATGTTCTAATATTTATTTCTGAAACAGTTACTAATATTTTCACTTTTTTTGTTTCAATACCAGATCTCTGCCTACTTACTGAAGAAAGTGGAGGCTTTGATAAAGTCCTGCTAGGCAAAAATAAAAGAGAATTTTCAGTGTGCACCTCTTTGACATGTATTGATGGAGAACATAAAAACAAAGAGTGTATGAAGGATGTCCCGAGTGAAACTTCGCTAAGTGTTTTAAAACCAGGTAAATGAACATCACAGTAATTTGAAATATTTGTCCAACCATGTGTTTTACCCCTGAGTTTTTAGCCATTGATGTGAAATTTTCTGCATGCTATTTTAGTACTTCCTTTGGATAGTAGCGAATCTTCTGTGGTGTTGAGTTTGTAATTTAGCAAAACTTGTTATTTCAATTGAGCAGGATTGAATGCAATCAATATGGTTGTATCGGTTTGGAAGACGGTGGCAACATCATAATATCACTGGACTGATAATCCAGACCCCATGTTGATGTTCTGGAGACATAGGTTTGAATCTGGCCACTGTAGATAGTGAAATTTTAATTCAATAATTTTCTGGAATAAAAAGCTAGGCTAGTGACAACCATGTCAATTGTCATAAAATAACATCTGTTTCACTAATGCCTTTTAGGGAAGGAAATCTGCCATTCTTCTGGTCTGGCCTACATGTGACTCCAGACACAGTAATGTGATTGACTCATCACACACTTGTTAATTTCCAGCTCCTGCAAGCAGTCTATTGCACACACATCCTCTCCTTGATTGAATATACCTTAAGCATAGAGTCATAGAGATGTACAGCACAAAAACAGACGTTTTGGTCTAACTCATCCATGCCGACCAGATATCTTAAATTAATCTAGTGCCATTTGCCAGCATTTGGCTTATAATCCCTCTAAACCCTTCCTGTTCATATACCCATCCAGATGCCTTTTAAATGTTGTAGTTATAGCAGCCCCCACTACTTCCTCTGGCAGCTCATTCTATACATGCACCACGCTCTGCGTGAAAAAGTTGCCCCTTAGATCCCTTTTAAATCTTTACCCTCTTACCTTAAACCTATGCCCTCTAGTTTTGGATTCCTCTATTCTGGGGAAAAGACCTTGGTTGTTCACCCTATCCATGTCCCTCATGATTTTATAAACTTCTATAAGGTCACCCCTTAGTCTCCCGGACTCCAGAGAAAATAGCCCCAGCCTATTCAGCCTTTCCCTAGACCTCAAATCCTCCAGCCCTCGCAACATCCTTATACATCTTAGAATGAACCCTTTCAAGTTTCACAATATCCTTTCTATATAGCAGGGAGACCAGAATTTAATGTGGTATTCTGAAAGTGGCCTAACTAATGTCCTGTACAGCCACAACATGACCTCCCAATTATGATCCTCAATGCACTGGTGAATAAAAATGTGTGTACCAAATGCTACCTTCACTACCCTATCTACCTGTGACTCCACTTTTAAGGAACTATGAACCTGCACTCCAAGGTCTCTTTGGTCAGCATCACTCTCCAGGACCAAACCATTAAGTGTATAAATCCTGCCCTGATTTGCCTTTCCAAAATGCAGCATCTCACATTTATCTAAATTAAAATCCATCTGCCACTCCTCAGCCCATCAGACCATCTGGTCAAGATCCTGTTGTACTCTGAGGTAACCTTTTTCACTGTCCACTACACCTCCAATTCTGGTGTCATCTGCAAATTTACTAACCACGCCTGCTTTATTCGCATCCAAATCATTTATGTAAATGACAAAAAAACAGAGTACCCAGCACCGATCCTTGCAGCACATCACTGCTAACAGCTCTCTGGTCTGAAAAACAACCCTCCACCACCACCCTCTGTCTCCTACCTTTTAGGCCAGTTCTGTATCCAAATGGCTAGTACTCCCTGTATTCCATGTGGTCTAACCTTGCTAACCAGTCAACCATGCAGAACCCGGGTTCGAATCCCACCACTGCAGATGGTGGAATTTGAACCCAATAAATATCTGGAATTAAGAGTCTAATGATGACTGTGAATCCATTGTTGATTGTTGGAAAAACCCATCTGGTTCACTAATGTCCTTTAGGGAAGGAAACTGCCATCCTTACCTGGTCTCACCTACACGTGACTCCAGACCCACAGCAATGTGGTTGACTCTTAACTGCCTTCTGGGCAATTAGGGATGGGCAATGAATGCTGCCTAGTCAGTGACACCCTCATCCTGTGAATGAAGAAAGGACCTAGTCAAAAGCCTTATTAAAGTCCATATAGACAACATTCACTGCTCTGCTCTCATCAATACTCTTCATCACTTCTTCCTTATTGCTTTCCTCTACTGTTTCCCATCATCAATTTCATTACTTCTCCCAAAATGTTCCATATCTGTGATTTGAAATTATTTTCAGGGTTCTGAGTTCAGTACTGAAGCTACGTTCAGCTGCAGTATGTATGATAAGCTTCATATTTTCAGATTTGTTTCTGAACTTGCCATTGTCAAGTCAGACATTTTTATTGGTGTCGCATGTCAACTACTTCTTTTCTGTGATTTTCATTTATACTAACCTTATTATATATTACCGAATGAAGATAAATTTAGTCATCCGCTCTATAGATCAGAAAATAAAGATATCGGTTTAGTTTCAGCTTTGCCAAGGATCTAAAAGTTAAGGCCATGAGCCAATGGAATCCTTACAGTCAGACACGCCCCATCCTTCAATATTTTTTAATAGATTTCATATTTCTTTCTAATCCTTCCTCTTTAGCATAATGTACCCTTCAACTATACTGGCAGCGTTTGGTATGACTTTTAACCTATGACAAGTATGGTGTACAAATTGTCTATATAATTTGATAATTTTTTTTATTTCTCTTTGGATCTTGTCAAATGATGCCATTAATACTTACCCCAGTTCTCTGAAAATCATCAAGTTTTGTTGTGCGGGTAGAATAATGTCCTGACTGGGTAAACTGCAGATCAGCTGACTTCCTAAAAGTAACCGATTTATTATGTTTAACATTAGGTTTCATTTGTGTTTTTTTTTCATTGTGTTCTCAGTAAATAGAGTGGGTACCCCACTAAGATGGCAACTCTATGAAACTTTAATTCCAGTTATTTTACATGAAATTACAATCCCCATCAGTGACTACAGTGTTTTATCTTTGCCAACTCTGAACCATGTAGTATATTTATGTAGTCTTTAATCTTGTCTACCTTCACTATTTAATCAATTAAGATAACACTTTATCCTGGCTGTTCCACAAACTGTCGATGTACAAACACTTTTTAGCTCCACATAATTAGAGGAGTCTCTAGCAATCTGACTCTCTCTCATAGGAACAAAACTCCTTCTGATTGGTATAATGACGAATCTGAACAAGTTATCTTTATCCTTGGTAGTACGGAACTTAAACTCAGAGGTAGGGACATGACCAGTGCACCACAAGACCCCACTAAATGAAAGAGCTTTCTAATTCAAAGACGATCCTGAAAGCATCTGAATGAGAAGCTTCTAGCATAGTTAGCAGCAGTATTCATTTTTAACCTTTCTTTTGTATTAACACTTACTGGGACTATTTGAAAATCCAGCAACTACTGGTCATCTTTATGTCACCGGGAAATGTCTCATTTGTCACAAACAAATTTCTATTTCCATTTTTAAAGCAGCAAACATCGTGCCCAACAATGGTATTCTCTTGGTAAAATAGAGCACCAGTTGGAATCAATTACCTTCGTACTTTCCAATAATTTTAGAAATTAGCACATTCATCCATAAATTGAATTCTGCAATCTTCTATACATCTCTTTTCCAAAATCTACTGAAGTGAGATCATGCTTAATGAACATGTAACAGTTGTTCATGAACTTTTATCCATCAAACCAATATCACCGTCTAAAAGGCAGAGATCTGTCTCTCTCTCAAAATGCTGACTTCTGACTCCACTCCTTGAAGTGACAACACTAAAGCCAAGCTTGGATTCTTTTCCTTTGATAAGAACATAACTCCTGTCTGCGTATTGACTTTATTCTTCCATTGGTTTTATAGTTCAGACTCTGAGAATATTGAAGAGCAATTCCATCTCGAGAATTTACATTTGCTTTCTGTCTTTTTCTGCAATGATCACTCGGATTTTGGTGTTCCTTCTTAGTTTCATTTTCACCTTTTGGTAAACATTTTCTCTTATCGTGTTCTCTTCTAGAAATCCACATGCTGGTTTAGAAGAAGAGGCGACTTGATTGAAACATAAAATCCTGAAGGTCAGGCAGCATCAGAGGAGTAGGAAAGTCGATGTTTCAGGTTGGGGTCCTGACCCAAAATGTCGACTTTCCTGCTCCTCTGATGCTGCCCAATCTGCTGTGTTCCTCCAGCTCCATACTGTGTTGTCTGACTCCAGCATCTGCAGTTCTTGCTATCTGCTTAAATCCTGAAGGATTTTGACAGGGTCAAAATCGAGAGGATGTACCTCATACGGGAGAATCTAGGGATCACTGTTTCAAAATTAGAGGTTGACCTTTTTAAACAGACATTAGACACTTTTTTTTGAAGTGTTGAATGTTTTGAAATTCTTTCCCTGAAAAGGTGGTAGAAAAAGAGAAATTGAATATTTTTTGGCAGAGGTTGATAGATATAATGTTAAGCCAGGGGTTGAAAGATTATTAGGATAGGTGGGAATGTGACTTTAAGGTGACAATCAGATCAGTTGTGACCGTATTAAATATTGGAGCAGGCTCAAGGGGCTGAATGGCCAACTCCTCCTGATTCAAATGCTCGTAAGAATAGAATATAAGCCAATTTTACAGGGAGACACAAGCATACACTACTTGCCCAGCCACCATAGTTTCGACCAATTAATAATTATAGAGATGTTGTAAATCCCCTATTAATACTTGTGATATGCATGCAATTAATACACATTTAGTGTGCTATGTTATTGTATAACTTTCAAATCTAATGTGCAACAATACCCAATTAATCTAGTGTTTTGTTTTTCTGGGAGGATAATGCCAGGTTATACAGAAAACTTGCTTATGCCATCCTGTTAAAACTGACATGACTGTAAATAATGTTTACTGATGCGAATAACCAGCTGGTTTCTGACAGGGTCCTGGGCAACATGGGTGCCAATAGCACATCATCTGACTGAAAGACGAATTGGATTCCAGATGGTAAAATAAGACTTCCATATTGTGGATTTTTGTCTGCACTTAAAACAATCCTGCCTTAGAGACCGTAAACTGTGAAAACATTCCAAACATTGGTGGTGTGGTTTGGAAAAACTTTCTGGGCTTCACCTCTGCTGGCATGTCAAAATATACATATGAACCAAGAACAGGAGTAGGCCGTTCAGCCATTTAATACGATCATGGTTGTTCTAATTGTAATCTTAAATCCACATTTCCACCTGCCCTTTTTATTCCCTTATTTACCAAGAATCTATACAATCTCTGCCTTCAAATATTCAAGACACTGCTTCCACTGTCTTTTCAGGAAGTGAGTCCCAAAGAATCATGTCCGTCTAAAAGGAAAGAAATCTCGATCCTTCTATTTTAAATGAACAAGCCCCGATTTTGAAACAGTGACTTCTAGATCTAGATTCCTCCAGAACAGGAGACCTCTTGTCCACATTCTAACATATAAAATCTCCTCATGATCTTGTGTTTAAATCAAGTTGTCTCTTGCTCTTCTAATTCCAGCCGAGACAAACCTAGCCTGTCCTGACCAGGATAAGTTAGGAATTCTGTCTCCATGATAGTATTGACTAACTCCAGCATTTCCAGGATGATTGCTCTCACTGGTATGAGCTGGACTGAAGATTCTCTCAAAAATTGATCCGTAACTGTACTTTCAAGTTGAGATTCTGGGTTTTAAACTTTGCTTGGTATACTTTTAATTCAATAAACCAATCCAATTGATGGATTCTTGAACAATGATGTAAACCCTGACTCTGGTATTAATGTTTCTTGCCAAATCTCACTGAAATAAAGTTGTACGTGCAGTTTAATTTTTACATTATCTCCTGCTTTAATTGCTGCTTTCACAAGTAGCTATGAACGGGGGTCAGTTAGCTTAGTTTGCTGGATGGCTGGTTTGCATTTCAGTGAGGTATAGTGACCCTCAGGTTAAATCACCACCAATCATCTCTCTCTGATGAGAGAGTAGCTCTATCACCTGGTAGTGCTGTGGTGACTTTACCTTTAGTTATAAAATAGTGAGGGCTTAGAAGGAATGGAGCAAGGTGGTAACTAAGATTTGGAATTTGGCATCTAGCATTTAAAATTTTAAAGATCTTAGATAGCACTTTTCTGTGAATCACATCCATTTAGTAAATGTCAAATTTGTTTTATTGAAAATAGGAGTTTGTACTGTATTGCATATTTATGCTTTATGCCTTTTGTATGAAAAGTTCATTTGCTTCTGCTTGGGATTCCTGTGATAAATTTCAAGCAGTCTGATTATGAAAACCGGAGGTTAATGCCTGATCTTTGGGGGAGCCTATGTTATTCTATATTTGGTGTTCTATATGTTAAGTGCATAGAGGAGTACCACATGGACCGTTGTATGATACAGTTGTTCATTTAACAATAAGCTTGGTAAATATTTTGAAAGAAATAGCGATACTGGATTTCATTATTGATACTAAGTGCTTTCTAGTCAAGTTTAAGTAATTATGAATAGAATACAAATATTGATGCAAACTGATTTAACATTGACATGACAGTGACATTCATATCTTCACAGTTATTGAAGAGGCTCAGCTACAGCTGCAGCCGTTCAGTGAACTTTCTGAGGAAAAGTGTCAGCAACTGTTTAAATTTTACTGTGAGTTCTTGTACCACGAAGATGTGATTTCTCTTCTTGAAAATGTTGTAAGTATTAATGTTGGGTGACTGGCATCCTTCTCTGCAGTGAAATACAACAATTATTTTAGGTTATAGTTTGAAGTAATGGAACATGAGCCAGAAGCATATCTAAGAAATAACTAACATTGGCAGTTGTTCTTCAGTGATGGAAATGATTTTTTTTTGTATAAGCATTGGTCTTGCAAATTAGATGGTCTCTTTTCTTCATTTCCGTATTACTGGATGCAATGTCAGGACTAGTTCATAAGACCCCAAGTACTGAAGCAGCCAGCTATGGGATAGCATTTATTATCTCTGTTTATCTTCAGGTCTGAGAATGGATGAGACTTGAACAATTCTAAATGAATGAGCCTATGACAATTCCAAACAAATGCATTGAAGGGAACCCAAACCAACCCCGTTATGCTGGGGTAGAGGAGAGAGAAAATGTCTCTCATCCAGTCCAGTGTTTATAGTAATGCAGTATTGAGAAACTCCAATCTTCTCAGCAAATCACAATGAAATTAAATTGACTAGAACTTTGTCACTCCAAATGAAATAATGTTATCCAGTGAAGTAATCTTTGATTTTAAAAAAAAAATTAGGACGAATGAACTTCATCAGTATAAGATGTTGATTATTTCCTAGAATCTGTGTTGTTAGCAGATTAATTAATGAGGCATATCAACACTGCAACAATATAGAATCAGGGTTACCTAGCAGAGCTAGAATTTACTATCACTGAGGGGTTGGTTAGCTCAGTTGGCTAGATGGCTGGTTTGCAATGCCACAGCGATGCCACTTAGTGTGGGTTTAATTCCTGCACTGGCTGAGGTCACCATGAAGGACTCTCCTTCTCAACCTCACTTGAAGCACAGTGATTCTCGGGTTAAACCACACCAACAGTGTCGCTCTCGCGCTTTTTGTATACTGGTCCAGTATTAGGTCGACGTATGGATAGTCCCTCCCAAGATAATTTGCAAGACTGTGATCTAGAGTAATATTCATTCCTATTGTTCAACTTTGGTAATCCTGGATAACAGACAATCTCAAAACGGGCTTGAAGAGGCAAGTCCTTGGTGTCACTGTACCACTGTAGTTTTTTATAAAGTTGAAAGGATGTCAGACTACTTACTGGAGGTTTGGTCTTCTCTAATTAGTAGAAGTTAATGAGAATAAATAGAGTGTACTGGAGGAATTAATAGTATGAAATGTGGATAAATTCCTTGCATGCGATGACTCCACAACCAGGGTTTGTCATGGGGTTGATCTTTCAGAAATCTTTGGATTCTAGAAACCATCCAGAGATTGTTGGAAGATAGCAAACATAATACCACTACTTGGTATTAAAGGAAAAAAGAAAAGGAGAAACCTTAAGCCGTTTAGTCAATCATTAGTGAGAGACAGAAATGGTAGAATCTACTATCAGCAACAGGATAAAGGGGCACAGAAAAAGAAAAAAAAAATCTTCAGAACTTTTTTAAAATTATTAAAAGATCATCACTTTTTTTTAGCAGAATTGACACAGATTTTTGAAAGGAAAGTAGTGTAGCTCATCTTCATGAACCTAGACTCTCAAATGTAGAATGATTGCAGCAGAGCTGGAGGCCATTAAACCCATTGTGTCCATGACAGTTCTGTGTGAGAGCAACTCCCCTTGCCCCAAAACCTCATCTTTTTTCCTATAGCTCTGCAAATGTTTTCCCTTTAATTATCCATTCCCTTTTTGAAAGCCACTCTCAGGTCGTATTCCAAATCATAATCTCGTGCTATATAAAAAATGCTTACCTCAAATCATCTCTTTATTTTACCAATCTCTTTAAATCAGAATCCTCTGGTTTTTGACCCTTCTGCCAATGGGAAGAGTTCTCCCCACCTACTCTGTGTATAAATCCTTTATGAATTCGAGCACCTCCAACAAATTTCCTCTAAACCTTCCTTTCTCCAGACAGAATACCTCTAGCTTCAAAAATCTGTCCAGCTACTGAAGCCCATTGTGCCCAAATTATTGTAAATCTTGTCTATACTCTTCCAATGCCTTTACATTGTTTCAAAAATACAGCAACCAGACTTATACACAGCACTCCAATTGAGGCTTAACTAATATTTTGTAAAAATTCACCGTAATTTGCATGCATTTGAAATCTGTGTTACTAATTAATTTCTCAACCTGCCCTGTCAGCTTTAATGATTTGTATGTAGAAAACCCCAGGCCCCTCTACTCTTGCAAAGGGATTGCTACTTTATTGCCTTTTTCTTCCCTCCTGCAAAAATGTATAACTTCTTACTTCTTTGCTTTAAATTTCAGGTTTTGCATGCCCACACTTTCCATCAGTGTGTAAATGAATGAAGTATACAATTATCATCCTCACAGTTCACTGTGCTGTTTAGAATCTTTTGAAGATGTAACTAATAAAATGAATAAGGGGGAATCTAATGGATGAAGGATATTTTGGATTTTCAAGAAACATGTCCCAGGGATTTCCCTGTTTTTCAGATACATGTTGTAACTTGGAAGAATTGTTTACTGTGAGAAGTGTAGTGTTAAACTTCTGAAAGGATGTAGATTTGTGGAATGGCCAACATACGGCGGATAAAATTTAATAGAGTAGAATATCCATTATTGTCACGTGTACTCAAGTACAGAAGTACAGTGAAGTTTAAAATGTAGCCTCTTGTGGCGCCATCTTAGATACAAATATCTAGGTACAAATCTTAGATACAAAACGAGGAATTATAAAAAAGAAAAGTAGTTGCATTACAGCGATTCACAGTATAAGTTAGAAATAAGCCATAGTTAAAAGGGTGGACATTACAGTCTGATAAACAAATTACAAATAAACATTACATTGCAGTAGCAGAGTGTAGGGGCTTCCACATGTGGTCTGGCTGCCCACGCCAAACCCCAGTCCAACAACCACCCCTGCACTGCTCCAGGCCACCAGTCCGCTCCGCACTGGCACTCAGCTGCTCCTAGATAAGTTTTCTCCGGGACTCACTTGCCCACACTGGCCTCCGCTCCAGGACTCACTCACCCACAATGGCTCAGCAGAGATGCAGAGAAGTGTGAAGTGACTTATTGCAACAGGAATAATATGGAGAAATAATATAAAATAAAGCGTCCAATTTTAAAGAGGTTAGACGAAAAGAGGAAGTTTGGAATATTTGTGTATAAATCATTGAAAGTGGTAGCACATGTTGTGAGTGTAGCTAATGAAGCATAACAGATTGCTCCAACTACAATGGTGAAAGGGCTTACATCAAATCTGTTTAAAATAAAAACACATTCAGCCACCATTGGAGTACTGAATCCAGGTCTGGGCGCTACACTCTGGGAAGGATTTGAAGAAATTGGAGAGTGTGCAGATAAAGTTTATGAAAATGGGCTCATGGATGAGGAAACTCTATTTCATGGATAGGGTGAAGAAGCTGAGGCTGTTTTTCTTGGAGAAGGGTGTATTAAGAGGAGACAAAAACAGAAATTGCTGGAAAAGCTCAGCAGGTCTGGCAGAGTCTCTGGAGAGAAATCAAGAGTTAATGTTGGGGTCCAGTGACCCTTTCTCAGATACTGTCAGACCTGCTGAACTTTATTTAAGACTATTTTATTTTATTTAAGATTAAAAGGAGGTTTGGCAGAAGTTCTCAAAATTGTGAGCAATCTAACAACGTAGAAAAGAAAAATCTTCTCATTAGTGGAAAGGTCGAGAATTAGAGGGTGCAGTTTTTAAAATTTATTCACCGGCTATGAGCATTGCTGACTAGATCAGCATTTCTTTTATCCATCCCAAATTGCTAAGGGGCAGCTAACAATCAACCACATTGACATGGGTATGGAGTCTCATGTAGGCCAGACCAGGTAAGGATGGCAGTTTCCTTCACTAAAAGACATTAGTGAACCAGATGGATTTTTCTGACAATTGACAATGGATTCATGGCCATCATGAGATTCTTAATTCCAGATTTTTATTGAATTCAAATTTCACCATCTACCATGGCGGGATTTGAACCCGGTTCCCCAGAACATTAGCGACAATACCACTAGGCCATCACTTTTAAAGTGATGAACAAAAGAAGCATTTATGGAATGAGGAAAACCTTATTTGATATCATTAAGTAGCTAGAATCAGAATTCACTGCTTGAGTATGGTGTAGGCAGATGCTATTGAGGCTTTCAACGGGGAATGGAATTATATGAAGAGGAGAAAATTTGCATGGCCACGGGGAGAAGGTAGGGGGGTGGGAATGTAGGTATATTGCTTTCAATGCCCGCACAGCCAAGAGTCCAAAGAAGTGCAGGTTAGTTGTTTTGGTCATGCCAAATTGCCCATAGTGTCCAGGCTAGGTGGGATAGCCATGGGAAATGCAGGGTGACAGGGATAGGGTAAAGGGGTAGGTCTAGGTGGGATGCTGTTTGGAGGGTCAGTGTGGACTCGAGGAAGAGAATAAATAAGAGAGTAGGACCCCTTAAAGGTCAATGAGGTCATCTTTGTTTTGAACCTCAGGTGATGGGAGAGATATTAAATGAATATTTCATGTCAATTTTTACTGTTTTAAAAAAAGAAAAAGACGCTAGGGAACTTGGGTGAATAAATATTGGTGTTTTGAAAACAGTTCATGTTAAAGAAGAAGTGCTGAGGTCTTAGAAAACATAATGGTAGATAATATCTCCAGGACCTGATCAAGAGTATCCCAGGACATGTGGCAAGTTAGGGAGGAAATTGCGGGACCTCTAGCAGAAATATTTCTATCATCTATAAACACGAGTGAAATACCGAAGGATGGCTAATGTTGTACCATTGTTTAAGAAAAGCTGTAAGGAGAACCTGGAAACTCTTGTGAGTCTGACATTGGTAGTGGTTAAGTCATAGAGTCATACAGCATGGAAACAGACCCTTTGGTCCAACCAGTCTATGCTGAACATAACCGCAAACTAAACTAGTCTCACCTGCCCACTCCTGGCCCATATACCTCCAAACCTTTCCTATTCATGTACTTATCCAAATGTCTTTTAAACGTTGTAATTGTACCCACATCCACCACTTCCTCAGGAAGTTCATTCCACATGCGAACCACCCTCTGTGTAACAAAATTTGCCGCTCGTGTTTTTTAAATCTCTCTTCTCTCACCTTAAATATCTGCCCTCTAGTCTTGAAATCCCCCATTCTAGTAAAAAGGCAACTGCAATTACCTATCTATACTCCTCATTATTTTATAAACTCCTATGAGGTTGTCTTTCAACCTCCTGCGCTCCAGGGAAAAAAATTTCCAGCCTATCCAAACTTTCTTTCTAACTCAAAAGGTGATTCTGAAAGATAGGATTTACATGTATTTGCAAAGGCAAGGATTGATTTAGGGATAGTCAGTATGGCTTTGTGTGAGGAAAATCATGCAGCACAAACTTGAGTTTCTTTAATGAAGTAACCAAAAAGATAGAAGGCAGAGAGGTAAACAGTGTTTACTTGGGAGATAGTAGGAACTGCAGATGCTGGAGAATCTGAGATAACAAGGTGTAGAGCTGGATGAACACAGCAGACCAAGCAGCATCAGAGGAACAGGAAGGCTGACGTTTCAGGCCTAGACCCTTCTTCAGACACAAAAAAAAAATTTTCTGAAGAAGGGTCTAGGCCCGAAACGTCAGTCTTCCTGCTCCTCTGATGCTGCTTGGCCTGCTGTGTTCATCCAGCTCTACACCTTGTTATCTCAGCGTTGACTTGGACTTTGTTAAAGCCTTTGACAAGATTCTGCATGGTAGACTAATTTGTAAAGTTAGATTGCATGGGATTGAGGGTGAGCTTGCCAATTGGATACAAAATTGGTTTTATAGTAGGAGACAGAGAGTGGTGGTGGAGGTTTGTTTTTTTGGACTGGAGGTCGTAACAAGTAGTATTCAAACTTTTGTTTGTCTTTTAGTTGAGAATATAGAAGGTTGCAGATGACACCAGAATTGGTGGTACAGTGGACAGTGAAGAAGCTTATCTAAGATTACAAAAAGGTCTTGATCGATTGGGTCAATGGGCTGAGGAGTGGGAGATGGAGTTTAATTTAAATAAAAGTGAGATATTGCACTTTGATAAAACAAACAAGGACAGGACTTATAAATTAATAGTAGGGTCCTGGGTAGTGTTGTAGAACAGAGAGACCTAGGAGTTCAGGTACATAATTCTTTGAAATCTGCATCTGATAGACAGGATGTTTTAAGAAGGCGTTTAACATGCTTGCCGCCTTTGCAAAGACCTTTTGAGTATAGGTGTTGGGAAGTCATGTTGAGGTTGTACAGGATGTTGATGAGGCCTCTTCTGGAGTATGTGTGCAGTTCTGGTTGCCTGTTATAGAAAAGATATTAATAAACTGGAGAGAGTTCGGAAAAAGAGCTACCAAGATGTTGCTGAGAATGGACGGCTTGAGACTGGAAAAGCTGAGACTTTTTTCATTGGAGCCTATGATGTTGAGGGGTGGCGTTTAGAGGTTTATAAAATCATGCGGGGTGTAGATAAGGTGAATGACAAGGGATTTTTCTCTTGGGTGGGTGAGTTCAAAACTAGGGGGCATATTTTTAAGGTAAGAAGAGAAGGATTTTAAAAAGGAGATGAAGAGACACAGAGTGGTTCATGTGTGGAATGAACTGCCAGAGAAAGTGGTAGATGAAGGTACAGTTACAACATTTTAAAAATGTTTGTATAAGTACATGAATAGGAATGGTTTGGAGGGAAATGGGCCAAGTGCAGGCAGGTGGGACTAGTTTAGTTTGGGAACATGGTTGGCGTGGACTAGTTGGGCCAAAGGGTACGTTTCCATGCTGTATGATGCTATGGCTGTCTCCTGTGCTATAATAATCTATAATATACTGTGGGCTAAATTATACATTGACCACTGGCTCCCCACACCCTAGCCTACATTTCTGAATAGTTTCCCCACTTCAATTATGGAGCCATTTCCTGTTAATTAATATAAACCCCAATGCCTGCCTCTGAGCTGCCAGTCAACCAGCAGCTCAGTGTCACACTGGGATTGGTGGCTGATGCCAATATTGCAAGAGCTCTATGAGAAAGAGGAACTGTGGATGCTTCCAGACCCGGATACCTCTCCGATCTTGCTGGGGGCCAAGTTGACCCTGATTAGAGCAATGTGTTTAACGCCAGTAGGCAAAACAGGCAAGGACCTCTGGTTGGCACAAGAGACCTGGGAAGGAATTACTCATTCCCTGTCCCCTCTTTGACTGACTAGCAGCCCACAGGATTAAACCTTGTGCTACACTTGGGTTTCAGGGCTGTCCTGCCACCCAACAAATTGGAACAGTGGTGGGATGGGCGTTTAAATGGGTCCGAATTGCCCATGCAAGACTGTGATGGGGTCGTGGCTGGATGGGCTGGCAGTGAACTAATGGCATGGCACCCTCATTTACTTGCCTGCTCACCCCCATGAATGGCTCAACATTCTTTTGGATTTCTCTATCCCAGTGAGCTGTGGACACGCAATCATAAAATATATTTAAGATAAGTCAATGGATTTTAAGTACTAATGGAGTTTCGGGATGTGGAATAGTGCAAGAAGATAGAGTTGAGATACAAGATCAGCCAGAATCGATTTAAATTGATTGATGCAGAAAGGCCCACTCCAAACTCGTTCTTGTGATTTGAAAGAAACCAAAATTGAATCCTTTCCCAGTGTCCCACGCTTGCCAGAACTTTTCTTTCATTTCTCTGAGTGCTTACGGCCTGAGGATTTTTTAAAAACTTATATAGATGAATGTTTGTTGAATTGTACTCCTTGAATATTTTGGTTAAGCATTTAAGTCAAAAATGCAGGGCTTATGTCTCCTTTGAACATTGGGACCCATTAACACATTCCAACTGAGATGATGTCTGGTCTTTCCTGCCTGTGTGATGTTGGAGGCCCCTGGTAGGCCTGTCCCCCTAGGGACATTATGTGGACTGTGCAGGCTGGAGTATTGACTGGAGGACCAGAGACTGTGGCTGAGTGGCTGTGGCATTGCATGAGATAGATGGATGATATTTATGAGGTGTGGAATAGCAAAGGTACTGCAAGATGTAGATGGTCTCTGATTTATAATATGCTTAAAATTAACTGTAGTTACAGCTGGCAAGCCATCATTGTGGAGGGTAAATATGTCTACAGGATGGCTGTGGCCTGTTAATTCCACGACTCAGGGAGTGGGATGGATTTGAAGAGACTAATTGAGGTGTTAACATTTCTCCGGTTATCCTCCTCCTTGAGATTCTGTCTGTGCAAAATTTGGTGCTGAGGCAGGATTATATTAGGCACTGACATGCCCTCACACTTGCCTACTAACCTATCTCTGTCTCACTGACAAACTCCAACCCATAGTTAGATGGATCACACCATACAAGGTTGGAAATGATGATAATTTTCAGATGGTGGATGCAACCTGAGCAGGAGCAAGTCAGATTGGAGTATGTTGGTTATTGGGTGAATCAAACTGGGGAGAAATCTTCATTTGCGAGTAGAAGGTTGTAATTGACAACATCCTACTCCTCTTGCAGCTTTGTTGACCTGCCTGAACTGTGTCAATTAACACAAGTGGAGATCACATTGACTGACTGCAATATAACCAAGAACCATAACTTATAACAGCAAATGTCTGAAGTGCTTTTCACGTGTTTATTTCTGAAGAGTGGAACCAGTCTGCATATTTTACTGAAGCCAGCATGAGCAATGGTCTGGGTCACAGAATGTAATAAAATTAGTCATTTTCTCTGACCTCTTAAAGTCCCCACCTGAAAGTGCTGGATCTGAAGGCATGTGCAAAGGCAAATTCTAGTCTGCCCATTTGATACAATGCTCACCATCATTTGGCCAGGTAAGATGGTATGAGAGTGAGCAACTTTCAAATAATGTATATGATTGTATTTATCACTGGTCAGAAAGTGCTTGTCTTTATGCCAGAGTTTTATTTTGCTTTTGGTGTTCTGTAGTTGGATGAGCTTTCTTCAGGGGAACAGCCAAATCTAATGGGACTGCAAGAGCTGGAGTCAATACAGGCTCAAAAAATCAAGGATATGCTACAGATTTTGGGCTACAACTGCCCAAATGAGGATGGCTCTTCAGCGATTAAAGATGCTGCAAGTTCTGAGCTACTTACAGCTGCATTCTACTTTTTTAGTGCTTTAGATGGTAAGAAAGACATTTCATGCCTCGGAATATTCCTGAAATATTGACCAGTAAATAAAAACATTGTTGATATTTTTTGCAGATTATTTGCCTGGATTTGCTGTAGGGGTTTCTTGATTGGGATTTATAAAAATTCCTGGAGAAACAACATTATTTCCTATTTATTTGTTTCTTATGCAGTTCTCCTGAAGTTTCAGTGAGGGATTGGGAGAACTGGAGATTTTACATGCAAATCATTAATATTGTAAATAACAATTCTCACTCAGTAAATTTTCATGATTTATCCATTGGTTTCTGACAAAACAAATCAATCTTTGGTTAAATACAGTAAGTTGCAGAACATAGAATTGTGCTTAGATGGAATTAGTTTAAACTTTTGGCAGAAAGTTCAAAGAATTACCTCCATTTTTTAATCAAGTTATTTTTGTATGGTGTAATTTACTAAAGTGAAGCTTTTATTGATGGGAACAACATTTCCTTAAAGTAACCTTCAATTTTGTCAAATTTACCAAAGCTACAGTTAAAACAGTATTTAGATTACTTTATGTCTAATGTGCCTCTATTTATTTAGCTTTGTCTGAAGAAACTCTTGCAGTTTTGGGTATTTGCTGTGAAATTCAAATTCTCCCAACGTTGCTTTATTCGGTAAGTTTGCACAACAGTCAACAACATATGGCGAACTGTCTGTTTTTTTTTACAGTACTTTTACCTCAGTTGTGAACTGGATGAGGTTACTGTTTGCTTGGGCATCATAAGATTATTAGTCATTCTTTCCTTGATGCCTAGATATTTATTTGTTTCAGTGATGTTATTCGCTTCTTTTAATGTCAAACGTTGCATTTCTGAAACTTGACACACAGTCATATTATTCAAAATGGAACTGCAGCATCTTGTGAGTCTGAGCCCCTCCTTTAGCACAATGAAAGATACAATTAAACACAAAATACTACAGTTACTGGAAATTGGAGAAAGTCGGGTCTGGCAGCAGCTGTGGAGAGAAAAATGGAATCCAACGACTGTTCTTCTTTGGAACTGAAGAAGAATCATTTTTGAACTCAAAACGTTAACTCTGTTAGACCTACTGCATCTCTCTGTTTCCATTTATGAACAATGAAATTGACTGAACTAATTGTGCTAAACGTTTGCTGAGCTATTTTCACTGTTTTTCTCCCTCAGCTTCTGTGCCAAAAGACTTGTGCATGGTGATTTGAAACTGCATCGGATCATTCTCTCTTGTGCTTTTCCCCCATCTCTCACTCTCCTCCTCCCTCGCATTCAACAGTATAGATTAGTATCCTAGATGGGAATAATTATATTCTTTGCAGATACCTTTTTTGAGAGTTATCCCTATCTAGTCATTCAGTCAAGATTGAATGCAACCAAATTTGTAGGACATTGAGTTTAAGACTGGATATGACTTAGTAATTATATAGAAAAACATAAGATCTTGCCAAGTAACTTATACACTGATCCAGACTAGACAGAAAGGCTGGACCACTCAACAGCTTGCTCTTCTTCCACTTCTCATCTCTTCTCAGTGCCCAAGTCTTCTCAAACCACCAATTGTGTTTACTAGAGTGCTCATTGAGTGATTTTTCCACTGCTTACAGTACTAAGCTCTCTCATGCCTCTTATTTTATACCATATTTTCCCCCAAGGATTGTTGAATTGTTGACAGTTATTGTCTGATAAATGTTTATTTCAAAATACTTTACGAAGTATCAATTTCTTTATCTCAATTTTGGGTTGAAACTTCCCTTCTGTAGTATCATTTGCCTTCATTAACTTGTTGAGCTTTTGATCAAGGCCAAACTCCGTGTGCAATCATTCTTACTTCACCTTTACCTTTGCACACATCAAACTTCCTCCCTGACTAGCAACTTTCCACCTTTGCTACCAGATTTAATTCCCAGAAGTTTGGTTATTTGTATCAATTCTACCATCAGTTCTTTATGTCTAAGCAATTATTTTTGGGACTTGTTAACCAATTATTCATAATGTTCATTCATTTTACACTTTTATTCTTTATCAGCTATTGGACCATGGTGTCATTCGATAAAACAGCATCTTTTCTGGTGCAGACTGAACTTTTGTAATTCAGCAGGCATCTTAACTGAGCTAAGTTTACTGAAAAACCTGGCACATCTTTGTAGCGCTGCTTTGTGTTTTGATTATATCAGTTACTCTTGATCTCCTCTGTTCATTAGTTTCTTCCAAGGCTACGTAACACTATCACATCGAAGTGTTATCATTCCAATAATTCTGTTTTGAGGGTAATAAAACTTGAGATTTCTAATACATCTTTGTTACTTGTAGACTTGACTATCCCAGTCCACTCTTGATGGGACTCTGTCACTCTGTAAACTTGACCTTACCAACTTAGCCAAAATTTCAGCCATGTTCACTGATCTGCATTGGCTTATGGTCAAGCATTGGTTACGTCCTTGATTTTAAAGTTCTCACCTTGTTTTCAAATCTCTCTATAGTCTTGCCCCTCCCTATTTCTGTAATCTCCTCAAGCTCCACAAACCTTATCTGCACCCTCTGATTCAATTTCTTAAGCACCTCTGATTTAAATTGCACAATGATTGGTGGCAGTGCCTTCAGTTGCCTTGACCCTAGATTCTGGAATGCCTTCACTAAATTTCTTGGTCTCCCTATGTTTTCCCATCCCTTTAAGACACTGCTTAAAACCAACCTCTTTCACCAAAACCTGGGTGTTGGGGTTTAATATCTATCCCCTTCTATGGATTACTGTTGCATTTTGTTTTGTAATGCTCCTGTGAAGTAGATTGGGATGTTTTATTACATTAAGGGACACCATATAAATACAAGTTATTGGTGAGCCATTGAGAAGTTGATCTGGCATTTCCTTCAATGCCACACTGCACTAAAGTATTAAACTGCGCATCTCTCTTAAGTATTTGTGTTTCTGGGATTTATTTTCATTAATTGACCATTACTATCCGAAACGCTTTGTCCAGAAAGGTTAAAGGGTAAGAATTATTGTGTTTTGCAAACTGAGATGTAGAAGATCAGACTGCCAGTTGTGTTTTCAGTATGTTCCCCTATAAAGACACACAACTTTATACCACTCTTTCACAGTCTACTTCCTGTTTTCAGATTAACAACATCCCTGATGATGGAATGCTTCCTGTTGATAATCCAGACCTGCTGCTCTTAAAAGAAGAGGATCACTTTTATGCAATTCAACGTCTATTTGCTTTATCAAATATCTGCCTTGAAAAGAAAGAATCATCCATCCATGTTGTGACTGGCAATCAGCCTGGTGTGCTTCCAGTGTGCCTTTGCATAGTCCTGCAGGGATTTGCTATTCTTAATGGGATCAAAAGAGATGAATAAACAGTCCAAATCTTCAGGCTTGGATGTGTTTAAAAGTTGATCTTCATTTTATTGCTTTAATGCATTCAATATAGTTGATGTGTCGTAAAGATTCCAGGAATATGATTAATGTTTTGAGAAGGAGCAAGATGGAAAGTTCAGTTGTGAATTCCAGTCAATGGCAAAATGAATCACAGAATTTCAGAATTATTACAATGCAGAAGGTCATTTGGCCCATTGTGTTGGCACATGGTGTACATCATGTTTATACAGTATATTCCATCTTGCAGAAAATTGCAGAGTGTATGGCATTTGTAGTGTCAGAAATTACAGAAAATGTCAGTAAATTATTCCCTTAAGTTGTCAGCAAAAGATCAGTATTATCAGTTAATTAGTTTAATTAGGCAAAACAAAATAGCTTTGTTTGAATAAGAAGTTAACATGTAACATTATCTAGAAGAGGAAAAACATTGTAATCCAAATGACTTTGTAGTTGAATTATGATAAGTAAGGAAGTGATAGTCAATATCCCCTGTGCCATTTGTTCCAAATTCAAAATCTGGAGCACTGGTCTATATCTCTCATTTCCAAGTTTAAACTACAATTAATAAGAACTTCAGCTGAAAACACTAACCGTTAACTACCAGAATAGTCCATGTTTGCATTCACTGAATATTGATATGAATTTCTGACTAATTTTAAAGTATAATTCTACTAAGCATAAACATGGATTTCAAATAAGATTTTAAAAGAAGTTGTTCTATTGAAAAGTAGTTATATATTTCTGAATGAAGAATGTTAGAAATTTAACATTTAATAGTTTGAAAAATTAATAGTAATTTGTATTAAATTTGTAATATTACAGATTTGTTTGTAAACATGAAGTTTGTTTTTCAGTTTTTACATGTATCTTTATTGAAGTGCCTTTTAATAATATTAGCATCTGACAAATCAAATAATGATTGTCGAGGTCACTAACTTTGACGTGTTAAAATCAGTACTGAAGTACTGTACCTTGTGCAGTTAGTTCTCAGGTTAATCGCACGCATTTAAGTACCTATCGTACATGAAATCTACAGTTCGGAAGACGGTTCTTGATGTTTACTATAGGTGTATAGAATGCCCACTGAGTGGAAGTAGAAATTTCAGTACAAGCAATTGAAAACTAACTTATAACAATATTTTTATTCACTAATCATATTGTCTGGTTGTGCAACCTCAATATTTAGGTGGATTTATCTTGTAACAATACTATTTTCAATAGTTTACACGTACACATCTAAATGTGGAGGCATTGCTTAAAATCAGGTATATTTGATATGTGTTTACATTGATGCTTAATAAAATACTTACATTGCTGCTGTGCATTCCTTCTTTAAATAAATTTTTGGGTTCTTAAGAATAGTGTGATCTTGAGAAAGATTATTTTAATTTTTTTTTACTGCATATCTACTTGATTCCTATTATTCGGTTGTCTGATTTCTCCTCCCTATGGAAAAGTGTTGATCAACTTCCCAAATTGATTTCTGGATGGTCTGGTGATTACACTGGGTGAAAGGCTGTTTACTTGTGCTGTAACAGAAGGGGGAGCACCATCCTGCTCTTGTGCACATGCAGTGTGTTACGACATGGAGACAGACTGCTGAACCAAATTAGTCTTTCTATCTCTGTATTCACAACACAGTAAAACCAAAACCTTCACAGAGCCTCACGATTGACAACCAATGGTTCCTAACCAACCTTTTGAATAACCAATCTGTGCATAATCAATTCCAGACACCAGTTTGTATTTTAAAAAGACTGCACAATCTATTTACAATGCAGTAAATTTAGCAGATTAAAATTCAACAAGATAATCTAACTGGGCTATGCTTTAAACCCAAAAGCTCTTGCTTTTAGCTTTGCAGGAGTTCCTCGATAGTGTCCTAGGCCCAACCATCCTCAGCTGCTCCATCAAAGACCTTTCCTCCATCATAAGGTCAGAAGTGGATATGTTCACCGATGATTGTGCAGTGTTTAGCACCGTTCATGACTCCTCAGATACTGAAGCAGTCTACGTTCAAATACAACTAGATCTGGGCCAGTATTCAAGCACGGGATGATAAGTGGCAAGTAACATTCACACCACAGAAATGCCAGACAATGACCATCTCCAATAAGAGACAGTCTAACTACCACGCATTTATGTTTAATGGTATTGCCATCACTGATTTACCCCACTATCAACAGCCTGGGGGTTACCATTAACAGAAAAACTGAACTGGACTTGCCCCATAAACACAGTGGCTATAGGAGCAGGTCAGAGGCTAGAAATACTGCACTAACTCACCACCTGCTTTCCCAAAGCCTGTACACCAGTTACAAGGCACAAATCAAGAATATGATGGAATACTCCCCTATTTCCCCAATGGATGCAGCTTCAGCAACAATTAAGAAGTTTGATATCATCCAGGATAAAGCAGCCCCCAATTGGTATCACACTCTCAAGCATCCACTCCCTCCACACCAACGCTCATAGCAGTGTGTACTATTGATGAGATATACTGCAGAAATTCCCCAAAGACCCCGAAACAGCACATTCCAAACTCATGATCACTTCCATCTAGAAGGACAAGAGCATGGGAACACCACCACCTGCAAGATCCCCCTCCAAGCCACTCACCATCCTGAATTAGAAATGTATTGCTTTTTCCTTCACTGTTCCCTGGTCAAAATCCTGGAAGTCTCTTCTAAAGGGCATTGTGGGTGAACCTACAGTGTCTCAAGTAGGCAGCTCACCATCACTTCCTCAAGGGCAAATAGGCTGGGGCAATAAATGCTGCCATTGATGCTCACGTCCCACAACAGAATTTAAATAAAAGGGGTTACAGGCTATATTAGATCTAGTATTGTGCAATGAGATAGAATTAGTTAATGATCTCACAGTGAAAGCACCCATAAGTAGCAGCAACAATAATATGATTGAATTTTGCAATTAGTTTGATTGAGAGAAGAGGGATTTCAAAACTGTTGCGAAAGTTTTATAGTTATGGATAAATGCTAAATTGGGGAAAGGCTAATTGCAACAGTAATAGGCAGGAACTGGAGAGATTAGATTGGGGTGGCTATTTGAGGGTAAAACTACATCTGACATGTGGGAGTCTTTTGAAGGCCAGTTCATCAGAGTTCAGGACCAGCATGTTCCCGTGATGATGAAAGACAAGGATGGAGAGAATCAGGAACCCTGGATGGCAAGAGATCTTGAGTGTTTAGTCAAAAAGGAAAACGAGGCATATTGAAGGTTTAGGAAACTGAAATTAGTGAAGGCCCTTGAGGAATATAAAGGAAGCAGGAAAGAATTTAAGCAAAGAGGGTTAAACAGGGACTTGAAATGATTGATTGATTGATTTGTTTATTGTCACGTGTACTGAAATACAGTGAAAAGCTTTGTGATACAGGCAGATCATAGTAAGCAAAGGATGTTCAGATCAAAAAGACTTAGATGGAGGCATACAGGTTACATTGCACAGAGCATGTACTAGGCGAGATCAACGTTAGCAAGATCAGCGTTATTTTAAGCTAGAGAGTCCGTTCATCTGTCTGATAACAGCCAGGAAGAAGCTGTTCCTGAAGCTGCCAATGCGTGTGTTCAGGCTTCTGTATTCTTCTGCCTGATGGAAGAGGTTGTAGGAGATCATTACCGGGGTGCGATTGGTCTTTGATGATGTTGGCAGGTTTTCGACGGCAGTGAGCCATGTAAATGAAGTCCACGGATGGGAGGTTGGGATTAGTGGAGTTGTGGATAGTGAGGGAGGTTGTCAAAGAATATAGAGGTTATAGACTAGTTGGAAAGTTGGGCAGAGAAATGTCAGTTGGAGTTTAATCTGGATAGGTGTGAGGTGATCCATTTTTGAATGTCAAATGCAAGAGGAAATTACACAGTTAGTGGGAGTCCCTTGGGAGCATTGGTATACAGAGGGATCTAAGGGAGCAAGTTCATTGTTCCCTGAAAATGGCAACACAAATGGATCAGGCTGTAAAGAAGGCATACAGCATGCTTCCCTTCGTTGGTCAGGGCATTGACTATAAAAGTTGTCACGTTATGTTGCAACTATATAAAACTTTTGTTATGTGGTATGGTGTGCAGTTGTGGTCACCACACTATAGGAAGGATGTGAAGGCTTTGGAGAGGTCGCAAAAGAGGTTTACAAAGATGTTACCTGGAGAGGAATATCTATTAAGGAGAGGTTGGACAAACTTGGATTGTTTTTGCTAGACCATCAGAGAGTTGGGGGGGGTGCTATGACCTGATAGAAATATATAAAATTACGAGTGACATGGATAGCAAGGAAGTCAACTCCTTTTCCTAAGCGGAAATGTCTCATACTAGGGGGCATAGGTTTAAGGTGAGATGGAAAAAGTATAAAGTAGATGTTCAAGGCAAGTTTTTTATGCAGAGGGTGGTAGGTACCTGGAACATGCTACTAGGGGAGGCGTTAGAAGCAGATACAATAGCAATGTTTAAAAGACATTTAAACAAGCGCGTGAACAGGCAGGGAATAAATTTGATTTGATTTATTACAATATTTAATACAATATTACAGCTGCAGAGAAGAGGGATATGGACGATGTGAAAGCAGATGGGATTAGATCAGAATGGCATCACGGTTGACACAGATATGGTGGGCTGAAGGACCTGTTCCTGTGCTGTACTGTCCTATGTTCAATGATGTCAAGAGCTGTCACTCTTATCTTACTAATGGAATTCAGTTGTTTCTTCTACATTTGAACCAAGGCTGTAATGAGATCAGGAGCTAAGTGGCCCTGGCGGAACCCAAACTGGGTGTCTCTGAGCAGGTTATCGCTGAGCAGGGATAGTAGGGACTGCAGATGCTGGAGAATCTGAGATAACAAGGTGCAGAGCTGGATGAACACAGCAGGCCAAGCAGCATCATAGGAGCAGGAAGGCTGACGTTTCAGGCCTGGACCCTTCTTCAGAAAATTGCTGAGCAGGTGCTGCTTGATAGCACTGTTGATGACACCTTCCATCACTTTCCTGATGATCGAGGTAGGCTGAAGGAGTGATAATTAGCGAGGTTGGAATTGCCCTGCTTTTTTGCACACAGGACATACCTGGGCAATTTTTCGCATTGTTGGGTAGATGCCGATGTTGTAGCTGTACTGTAAAAGATTGGCTAGAAGGAGGGGAAAATTCTGGAGCACTAGTCTTCAGTATTATTGCCAGAATGTTGTCAGGGCCCATTGCATTTGCAGAATCCAGTCACTTCAACTGTTTCTTGACATCACGTGGAGTGAATTGAATTTGGTGAAGACTGTCATCTGTGATGCTGGGGACAATTGGAGAAGGCCGAGATGGATCATCCACTTGGCACTTCTGGCTGAAGATTGCTGCGAATGCTTTAGTGTTGTCTTTTGTACTGTTATGTTGGGCTCTTCCATCGTTGAGGAAGTGCTGCATCTGGCATAGGTAAAAATGGGGAGGCGATGGCCTAGTGGTATTATTACTGGACTGTTAATCCAGAGATCCAGATAAGGTTCTGGAGACCTGGGTTCGAATCCTGCCGCAGCAGATGGTGGAATTTGAATTCAATAAAATATCAGGAATTAAGAGTCTAATGATGCCCATGAATCCATTTTCGATTGCCAGAAAAAAACCCATTTGGCTCATGAATGCCCTTTAGGGAAGGAAACTGCTATCCTGGCCTACATGACTCCTGACCCCAGTAATGTGGTTGACTCTTAACTGCCCTCTGGGCAATTAGGGATGGGCAATAAATGCTGCCCGGCCAGCAATGCCCTCATCCCATTAATGAATAAAAAAGAAAATAAGTACCCTCCTGCACCCTTCATTGAACCAGAGTTGATCCCTGGCTTGATGGTAATAGTTGACTGGGGGATATGGAGGACCCTGAGATTGTAGATTGTTTGGAGCATGATTCCGCTGCAGTTGATGGCTCACTCTTTCCCCAAGGACCAGCATTAGGGGCCATGACAGCAAACCATGGTCCAAGGTTGCCACCTGGATGAGTTCACTTTCACTGTCTGGACGAAGACGCTACATGTCGGAAGAAGGTCAAGGGTCATCTCCACTCTGCCAGCGTAAGTTCCTTCATCCTCTCTCCAATCCCTCACACTCACCCCATCTCTGCTACTATACCCACCTCACACCAAGGCTCATAGACTATTACTCTCACTGTTACCTGCAATATCTTCCCTCACTCACTCTCACTCATCCCAAACCCTGACAGCACCATCCCTGCATGCCCTCTACGCTGCCTCCTCACTCGTTCATTAAACTTCCCCACCTGCACCAAAAGTAATATCTCCCTTAATA